GCGTCGATTGGCGTCTGTTCAGCGTCGATTTGGCGTCGACTTAGCGTCGATTAGCGTCAGTTAGCGTCGATTTAGCGTCGACTAGCGTCGATTTAGCGTCGACTAGCGTCGATTTAGCGTCGACTAGCGTCCGATTCGCCAGAGCCGACAAGGTGGCATGGGAGGCTCCCACGAGTTGCCACCGCAAACTGGTCGCAGCGAGGCGAGACCTCGGCGGACCCACCCTGCGCACGAGGCGGCAACGAGGCGGCAACGGGCGGCAACGCGGCGAAGCATCGCCAGACCCATCGAGTTCCTCCGGGAGACGAGTACGACCCCCTGCAGTCAACCCGCATAGTAAGGATGGGCAACCTTCACAAGGGTACCCTTGCATCCTTGCCTCCGCGGTCCATCCTTCGCCGCTTTCGTGGGCCGCGCCCCGCCCGAAGAGCTTCGAGATGGGCGTCCAAGGCCCTTGCATCCTCATCGCGCATCCTTCCGATACGGGGTGACCGTAAGTGCCAGCGCTCTTTGGGGAAGCAGCCGTCCGGCAGGGCGGTGCACCTCGAGCTGGGCCGCCGTGCGGCGGGAGAAGCCCCGCGGCCAGCCAGCGTCCTGGCGCCCAGAGGGGGCGCGCGAGCGGGGCGGGCGCGCCGCGAGTGCGCCACCCTCCGAGCTCCGGCGGCGAGGACAAAGTGCAGCCCAGCAGCAGGCGCCCCAGCAGCCGGAGGATGCTGAGCCCGTGCGGCGTGTGTCCTCACGGGGTGCGTCAAAGGGCCTTGCTCCGCCTGGTCCGTGGCCCCTCCTGACGCAGGCTTGGAGGCGAAGAGGGCGGGTCGAGGAGCAGGAGGCCGGCGAGCGAAGGCGGGCATCCCCTGGCACTCCGCGGGGCTCGCAGGGGAGCTGCAGCCAGGGTAAGGGGCGAGGGCACGGCCCTGTGCGCACGAGTATGGCTTCTGCACGGGAGCGTGGCCGTCCGGACCAGGGCTGGTAGCCTGCACTCCGGCGGGAGCACGATTCCGGAAGCCCTTCGAGGACGTCTCGGGCGGAGGGCTCCCCGTCCCCCGCTTGTGGGGCTCGCCTGTGGCTCCAGTGCGCAACAAGAAGCGCTCTTCGGGAGCAGGAGAGCGGCTGGCGCTCTCGTCCCCGACGAGGTCGGGGCCCACGCGGGGGCCCTCTCGGACCGCTCGGTTCGCACGCGGTTGCCTGCTTTCGCGCCGCTGCGACTCCTCGGCGGCGAAGTCCGAGCCCCACCCTCGCGAGTCCACTGATTCAGGCACCTCGCTGGGCGGGGGGGGGGGACAGGATTCAGGATTCGTCGAGCACGCGGCGAACTCCGAGGCCTGCCTCCGCCCCCCATCGATTCAGCAGCATCACGGCGGGGGCAGGAGGAGGAGGAGGAGGAGGAGGAGGAGGAGGAGGAGGAGGAGGAGGAGGAGGAGGAGGAGGACGCGGTCGCCGCTTCCGTTGTCGTCGTCGTTGTCGTCGCGAGATGGCCGGCTCGGCCGCGGGGCTGGCCGGCCGCTGCCGCGGCCGCGGCTGCGAGCCAGGGCCCCCCGGGGGGCCGTGCGCCTGCCCCTGGCTGAGGCCCGTGGTCTACGCCAGCACCGACGGGCCGTCGAGGCGCGCTCTCGCCCGCGGGTGGCGGCGCCGAGAACGACGACGGCGGCGAAGACGACGACGGCGACGACGACGGCCACGACGACGACGACGACGACGACGGCGGCGACGACGGAGACGACGACGACGACGCGACGACGGGCGACGACGTCGACGACGACGACGAGGGCGGCGACGGCGACGACGACGACGGCGGCGACGACGACGGTGACGACGACGACGACGTCGACGACGACGACGAGTTCGGCGACGGCGACGGCGACGACGACGACGACGACGACGACGGCGGCGACGACGGTGACGACGACGACGACGACGACGGCGACGACGTCGACGACGACGACGGCGACGACGTCGACGACGACGACGAGGGCGGCGACGGCGACGACGACGACGGCGGCGACGACGACGGTGACGACGACGACGGCGACGACGACGGCGGCGCCTGCGGCGGCGACAACGACTGCGACGACCACGACGACAACGACGACGACGACGACGACGGCGGCGGCGGCGGCGACGACGACGACGACGACGACGGCAGCCGCGGCGGCGACGACGACGAAGGCGAGGACGACCGCCTCGCTCGCTTTCCCGAACTTACCCTTGTCCTGGCCAACCCGCCTCCTAGACATGCGACGTTCTAATTTTTGAAATACGCGGCGACCCTTTCCCTGGGGCCGGCTTTTCCTCCAGAACTGTTTTCTGATTGCCCCGGGGCCCGGCGAGGGCCCCCAGAGGCCGAAAGTGGCCAAACACCTCCCGTGGTGATTGACCGCGATGTCCTCGCCCGAATTTGTCCTCGTCCTGGCTTCGTCCTGACCTCCCGGCAGGTCGCAGGTGCTGCTCACGAAGACCGACCCGCGCGCCAACACCTCCGTCTTCGGCGTGCGCTCCTCGGGCCGCCCGCCCTCGGAGGCCTGGAGGCTCACACCCACACCAGCATCGGCGGTGTGCCTCCACCGAGGGATGGCGATCCCCGCTCGTCGTCGCCGGCGCCGCCACCGCGGTCGTCGTCGTCACGCTCGTCGTCGTCGTCGTCGTCGTCGTCGCCGTCGTCGTCGCCGTCGTCGCCGTCGTCGTCGTCGTCGTTTTCGTCGTCGTCGTCGTCGTCGTCGTCGTCGCCGTCGCGGCCGCCGCCGCCGATGTTGGTTTGGGTGTGAGCCTCCAGGCCTCCGCCGGTCCCCCGATCTCGGTCATGGTGGTCATTTTCGGGCTTCCTACAAGCCTCGTCAAAAAAGTAGACAGAAGACTTCTGAATCCGGTGACTGTGGGGTCAGCGCTACTCCAATGCTGACGGGCGCCTGTTGACTCCGACGCGGTGTTGTCCAAAAACCGGCCCCACCCTCTCAGCATTGAAGCACGCGCTTTCTGACAAGTGCCTGGAAGTATCGTGCCCCAGGATTTCCACTCCCACGTCTGGATCTTCTTGACGAGGCTCGTGGCGGTAAGTTTTTCGGGCTCCCTGGGTGGCCGAGAGATTGCCACCAATCAGGAGGAAAAGAAACACACAGACACAATTCATCTTCGATTTCCCAGAAAATATGGGAAAATATGGGAAGTGGGGGGGAAGACAAACACCCCAAAAATATAGGAAAATATGGGGAATCTTTTTATTTGTGTGTATTTATTTGTGTGTCCTGGGGCCCCTTCAACCAGCACCAGAATCTGGGATCATCTCCCCCCGGTGAAGGCCGCCCCCCCCCGTCTTCTGGCGCAGGTGCCCCTCTCCGGGCCTCCCACGGCCGCCCGGCCGCTGCGTGGGGGGGAGAGGCCGCCCCGCCCAGGAGGGGGGCCCCGCCGCGCGCAGCAGGCCGCCCGCGGGGGGGGTGGGGGTGCGAAGAGGCGGCAGGCTCGCGCCGTGCTGCTATTTGGCACCGCTCGGGCGTTTTTTTTTTTTTGTTTTGTTTGTTTTTTTTGTTTTTTGTTTTTTTTCCCCTGCGAGGGCCATCGATCATCGAGAGCCCACAAAAGCTAGTCCTACAACCCTCCGCGAAACTGATCGCAGGTTTTGCCGACCCCCCGTCGCCCCCACTTTCAAGGTTCAGTTGCGCGTTCGGCGCGGTCCGCGGACGCCGAGGGAAACTCGTAGGTCGCGCGTTTGGGCATCAACGTTGAGATTTGGGGGCCTGGGGGCGCCGACGCGGCGCGGGGGGAACTTGCGTTCAGCTTCGCGGAGGGATGTAGTAACGCGGTGAAGACGTGGCCTGACTTAGGTCCCCGTCTCTGCAGTAGGGATCGTAGATCTGGGTGGCTTCGTTCGATGCATCTGCAGAGAGACCCCCCTATCCCTAAGATGTGGGGCCCCCTTAACTTAGGTCCCCTCCCAAAGGATTAGGGGTCCTTTTTATTGTTAGTCAATCGAGGAGCATCGGGGAATGGAGGTCCGAGCGGTGGCGAGGTCGATGCAGCCCGATCCGGGGCACATTTTTCACTTCGAGCCGATTTGCCGGCTCGATGCCAGCTGATACTGCTTTTGAGGATGATTTCCCTCCTCTTCTGAGGGCGTATCCCTACTGGGCTCGTCAGTCGTAGGGGTCGGGATGAGCTCGAGGCTGGTTACGCTCGGCGCTGCCGAGGTTTGCTCGCCAGAATCCTTGAGATCCTGGCGTTGCAGTCTTTCCTCAACGGGCGTTTTCGCCCGATTTCGGCCCCCGGGGCCCTCGCAGCTCGATCCGGCTCGAGACGTGGCGCAGAAAGGTGGGGGGCCGGGGCTCCCGTCGTGATTCTTGTCGCCGAGTCGCAACTTTCAGGAGGAAAAGAAACACACAGACACAATTAATCCTCCATTCCCCAGAAAATATGGGAAAATATGGGAAGTGGGGGGGAAGACAAAAACCCAGAAAATATGAGAAAATATGGGGATTTTTTTTATTTGTGTGTATTCATTTGTGTGTTCCAGTTCCCCTTCAAACTTGTCCGGCAGCGTCGGATCTTTGGGGAGTCCCCGCGGCGTGGGGCGGAGGTGGGGCGTGCCTCGCGCGCGGAGCGCCTCGGGGCCCAGGCATCCGCGGCAGGCCCGCCTCGTGTCGACGCGGCGGCGGCCCCGCCGCGGGCGTCCGGGCCGGAGCGCCGGCGGCGGCCGGGAAGAGGAGGAGGAGGAGGAGGAGGAGGAGGAGGAGGAGGAGGAGGAGGAGGAGGAGGAGGAGGATGGAGGAGGAGGAGGAGGAGGAGGAGGAGGAGGAGGAGGAGGAGGAGGAGGAGGAGGAGGAGGAGGAGGAGGAGGAGGAGGAGGAGGAGGAGGAGGAGGAGGGCCAAAGGACGTGGAGCGACCTGGCGGTCGTGAGGTCGCCGATCGCTCGGCGCGGCGCAGACATCCTGCGGGATGTTTCCGTCAGTGCGCGGCCCCCGGGGTCCGGGCCCGATCCCCAAAAGGGCAGCTTTCCATCCCAGATCTTTTTCTGATGGCCCCGGGGCCCGACAACGGGCTCGGGAGGCCCAGCTCGAGGACGCACGTCAGGACTGAAGAGCAGCCATATCGTTGGTGATCGTTTTTTGACTCATTGGTTTGCCGATCGTCGCGGGCCCTCGCCCCCCCCCCCATGGAGTAGCTCTTGGCTGTTTTTGGCGCCTGTTTCGAGCAGGTGATGTCTCCTCCATAGGACGCACTGCTGCAGACAGTCGAATCATGCAGAGGTCTGGAGCCAGAACCTCCTTCTCCCCCCCCCCTTCCGCCCAATGTCGAAACGCCGAATAATTGAGAAAACGCCCACCAGAGAGACTCAGGATGCAGAACCGGTCCTGGGGAATGGGTCGAGCCCTCGGGGGTTCGCCTACACGTATGAGTGATCTTTCCCAGGCGTGACCTTGAGCGCGGGCCCATTGGGGTCCCCGGATCGCCGAATGCGATGCGATAGTTGCGTCTTGTGTGCTTAGCTTTGGTCCCTCCGCGGCTCCCCGAAAGTCTTACCCAGGGTCACTCTTGCGTGTAGCCGAAGGGTCGACGCTGCAAAAACATCCTGACGTCGGGGGTCTGGGGCTGCGTGGTTCGGTCAAAAAGCAAACGGCACCACTGGCACCACCCAATCTGCGGCCCTCCATGTTGCGCTATATGGCCTATCGGGGGCTACGTAGCGCATACTGCGCAAAAGCCCACGCCAGATGTCGTGGTACGCTAAGCCCCGTAGGGCCGAATTGGTGGGGTGGTGTCGTTTGTTCTCTGGTCCATGGGGACGCGCCCATCCGTCGTGTGCTTTTTGACGGGTTTCCTCTAGGCTGCGTGCTCAGGCGGGCGTGTGGTCCATCGCTCCCTTGTGTCCGAGGAGCAGGAGGGCCCCTCTGGAATGACGCTGTTACCTTTTCAACCTGGCTGCAGTGCTCCTTTTGCTCTGCCTGGCCGGATTCACCGACCAGCACTGTGGTGAGCCTTGGGCGCTGTGGGCGCTGCAGGTCCTCAACGTGGTGCGGCGCGCGCAACGGACACTCCATGACCACTGCAACGCACCGTGCGTTTACAAAATGGTCGAAAAGTGTCCGAGGAGGAGGAGGAGGGCCCCTCCCCCCCCGAGCGCCGAAGCCAGGCCCGCCCCGCGGGCCCTCGCGGGCGCCGCAGTCGGGGGGCAGCCGCGCCATCCGGCGGCTCCGGTGTGGGTGGGCGTCCGCCGACAGGCACCAGGGGGGGGGACGGCCGCCTGCGGCGCGCTCGGCCCGCGGCGCGCGCCGAGGTGCCAGTCGGCAGGACGGCGGGCACCCCCGCGAGAGAGAGGGGGAGCAGCTGCCCCTCCCTCCTCCTCCTGCTCCTCCTCCTCCTCCTCCTCTTCTTCCTCCTCCTCCTCCGTATCTATTTTGGGTCAAGCGATTGAGTCGGCACAGGGGAGCAGTGGCCCCACTGCGCGCTGGGACGGGGATCCGTCCCGTTTCAGGCTTCATTCCTCCCATGCGAACATGGCGAGGAAAGGCGATTCCACGGTCTGTGAGTGCGGCAACTGGGCGTTCAATTTCCGCATCACAGCGAACAGTGGCAAGTGTGTGAAGTGCGGGCGCGGTCTCGATCTTTCGCAGAGCAACGAGACCACCGTGGCAGGCTGAACGGCAATGCGCGCAGCACTGCCAGTATTATAAGGACGGCAGGGGCACGTGGGGCTCCACAATCACCACGAACGATCCGAAGGCGCTCCTGGAGAATTTGGCGATGCTCCCGCAGTTTGCCAAGGAGGTCGCCGTGCTGCAGCGGGCTTAGGAGAAGTATGGCGAGAGCCAAATGGTGCAGCGCAGTCCCCAGGAGTACTATACCACGACGGCTAAGGAGCTCAAGTGGAAGGCGGAGGCTCTGGAGCGCGCGCGCAAGGTGGATATTGAGGCGGAGTCCAAGCTGGAGGCGGTTAGAGAGGCGACGAAGCGTGCGTGCCTGGAGCACGCCCGCGCCAAGGCTGCCCACGCTGAGACAGTTGCGCGCGTGGCGGCGGAGGCCAGCGCCCAGCGCGTTCCTCAGGGCTGCACCGCGTACGGCAAGAGTGTCGTCTTCGCGCGATGAGTTATTCAGAGACATCGGCTCATTCAGCGAGGAGGAGCAGCGCGCCCGGCGCAAGTTGCATCAAAGAGAAGTGTGATCAGGTCTCGGCGATGCAGGCGGTGGTTCACGAACAGTTCGCGAAGGTCAAGGACGTGCGCTCGGGCGCGACCAAGCGGCAGCGCACGGGCGAGCAGGGCCAGGCATCAATGGGCACAGGCGGCACCGCGGAGTAAGGCGGCCCCCCCGCCCGCCCCGGCCCAGGCGGCCAACCCGACAGACGGCGAGAGCTCAGAGGTCTTGGCAGAGGCTGAGGAGGTCCGCAAGGCAGCTTTGGAAGCCGGGCGGAAGAATATTGCAGAGAGGGGCGACGGCGGCAGGCACAGTGGCCTCATCTTTTCCTTCGGCTCCTGCTGCTCCTGCTAAGCGTGAGTAGCGTTTTTTTGGCATTC